GCAGCTGACTTAAAGTTACACAGTGAATAACAGGTGGGGCCAGGATTCGTACCCACACCTGCCTAGTCTCATAGTGCCTAAGTGTCACCATGTTGCTGTCAGCCTCCCCTGGGACATGGAGAGCTTCTCTAGGGACTTTGATGGCAATGGGAGAGGGCAGGTAACCTACAGGGCCGGGGGCGTCCTTACCTGCAGGCCAGGCAAGAGCATGATCAGTTCGGTTCCAGCAGCTTCTGCACAGAGGAAGCACTCCCTCCTCCCAAGGTGGGCCAGCCCCAGGGAAAGGTCAAGGGCAGAGCCAGTGTCCCAGGACATAAGGGATGGGAGTGCTACAGTGCAGGGCTCAGGTCTGCTCTAACTCTCACTCCTGTTCAGGGCTGAATAATCTGGGGCCTTTGAAGAAGGATTTCTGAAAAGCCATCAGGAGTGAATCATTGACTTAGGGAGGCGATGAATCAACGGGGAGTTCATAAAACGGCAAATGAATCGGGTGTGAGAACAACGGAGCCACTGCTATTCCCCAGAACCCTCCGGGGACAGAGAGTCGAGAGAAAAGAAATAAAAATAACACGGGGCCTTACGCCTGCAACAAACCCCTCCTTCCATGTGCAAAGACAGGGGATAGAGGGACAAGACCCACTAGCAGCTGAAGTAGGGCCAGAGGGAGGCTCCTAGGGCACTCTTGGCTTCCCGGGCCTGGCCTGCCCGTGCAATTAGCAAAAGCCTTTCCCCCTTCTTTCCAGGAGCCCTCACAAGAAAGAACACTGATTTTGACGAACACCCAAAATAATGTGAGATCAGGCACCATGCATTATGCATGAGGTCTGATTTAACATGAACATTATTTCTTGTGCACGAGACCATATGCCTCCGTGCTGTCTCTGCAGCCTAATAATACCCAGACCCGCCCTGGTCAGGCTTAGCCAGAGACATGTCCATGGGTGTATGTGCGGGGGAGCTGGAGCTGAGCCCTCCTCCAGCTTAGCACATTTGAAGAGAGCCCATTCGGATGCCCTGGAGGTGGGTGGAGGTGGGTCATGCCCCTGGAGAAGCACCAGGGAGCTGGGGGTGGATGCAACTGAGAAAGTGCCTGTGTGCATGTGTGCGTGTGTGTGTGTGTGAATCAGGAACCCGTGACTAGGTGGTGCTGGGTTTCTCTTGGCGATGTGAGGACATGTGCGTAGCTGAGGTTTTACTGCACAAGAGTGGCGGTGGCAGGAAGGAATAGATCTAATTGCTGTGTGTGTTTGTATATATACACGCATATGTACATGTGGGGGTGTGTGTTTAAAAAATAAGATCACACATACATACAAACACACAGCCTAACTTTAATTATCTGAAGAGAGCAGGAGAGATATGGGAGGAGCTGAGAACAATGACAGGCAGGGATGATTTTGGAAAATGGCTTGTGGGGTAAGTGCTTGGAAATCCTGAGAAAAGGGGACCCTGTCAAATGCTGGGGAGGGAGGGCTATGTGCTTAATCAAATGTCACAGGCACCAGGTGCCCAGTGACTATGGAGAACTCAGCACCGAAGACCACAGAGCTGGCCAACCAGTGGTTGGGGTGTGACCACACGTGTGTTAGCAGGTGTGTGTGAGTGAGCTGGAGAGAGTGCACTGGGCTTGGTTGGCCGAGAGCAGGGATGAGAAAGAGTTGCTAATGAGAAAGAGACAGCGGAGGAAGCTGTGATGACAAATTTCGGAGAGTGGCTGTGGGGTTGGGGGTGATGGGGGGATCAAGAAGGGGGACCTGCGGTCTTGTATGTGTATGAAGCAGGACTGCTTCCTTGAGAGGCGCTAGTTCCTTCTGTTTTAGCTGCCACCCCCAGAGTAGCCACCTGGAAGCTGGCTTTTTGGGGAGGTGCTCAACTCTCAGGTGGTCCTGGTGAGTACTGCCGTGTCCCAGCTCAGGGACCAATAGAGGGCAGTCCTCCCACATGGAGGCTCGCAAGCAGAAGGGGGTCCCTGAGAGGGCTGCCAAACACCAACTCCAGAGCCTTCAAAGGCGCTAGGCAGGGACAAGATTGCCAGACTCCCGGCAGTGAGTAGGGTGAATCCCCTTTGCAAAGCTGAAGGCAAGCAGCGGGACCAGATGAACACTCCGCTCTCTCCTCCCCCTGCTTTGTGGACCCCAGCCCCACTGGCGAAATCCTGGGCCTGGGTGTGACTTTAGGGCTGGTCCCTCCCATACACAGGCCCAAGTCGTTCCAGAGGAGACTCAGCTCCAAACTGCTCTAAGTGGGCAGCTGTGGTTGGGATCTGCTAACCCTGTGGATACTCAGTGGAGTCCTGCGGTCAAGGGATGCTGCAGAGGACTTAAACCATGTCCCATTTAGGTTGTGCGACTTCCTGGGGGAGAAGAAGGGCATCACCTTCAGGGCAGGGCTCCTCCTAGGTTTGTCTTGATCACAGGAGACCAAAACAGCTTCCTTCCTTCTTCCAGTGTGAGCCAGCCCTGATCCCTGCAAATGTTCTCCCGGTTCAAAGCATTAGCAGTATAGTGCGGACTTTCTCTCCTCTACCGGGAACAGCTATGGACTTGCAGACCCAGAGTCGCACACAAGTACATACCCCAATGCACAGAGTTCGGCATGGGCAGAGTGAAGCTCTAACTACCAGAATCTGGCAGCATGGACCTAGGAAGTAACTGTTCAAATGGCAATTGGAGGGAAATGGGACTTGAAAATTCCAACTCTTCCCGGGAAAGGGGGCTTTCTCACAGGCTGATGCTAAGGACACCTGCTTCTCTCAAGAGTGAGCAGGTAGGTTCATATACACCTGGGGTGGAGGAAACACACAAGTTCACAGCTAACTGTGACTTGCCCAAGCACTGTTCTGTCCTGGGAGTGAGACTGGAGGGCAAATTATTTCTTTCCCTGTGGCTTTTTCCTTAGACAGTCACACGGGCTAAGGTTCCTCCGTTATCCCAAGCTAGAGACCGGGTAAAGGAAACTGGGCGCCTTCTGTGACCAGGGGGCCGGTCATGGGTAGCTGTTCCAGGCTGGGGTCCTGTTAAGCAAAATCATCACATGGGCAAGGTTTCCTTCCATCCCTTTTTCCACTGGTTTCCATTTTTTGTTTTATTCCTCAGCTGCTGCTTGGAGTCTTGGGAGATCACATTGTTTTGCTGTTTTTTGAGTTGACTTGTTTAAATAATAAATCCACCCTCTTGTACAGGATTAAGCAGACAATTAGCAAATCAATCAATCAATTGGTGTCAGCTGCAGGCAGAGGCCAGCAGAAGGAGGCCTGTCTTCGCCCTTTCCAACCTCCAAACCTGCTGAGGCTCAGAGCATGCAGGCGACAGGGAGCTGTGAGCATCACTGGCTTCCATTTCAGGGCCCTGAGACTGGGGTGATCCTGGATGGAGAAATAAGAAGGGTCTTGGGGAGTGTGGGGCTGCTGGGGACTTCTGTACCTGGTGGAGTGGAAAGGCAAGGCTCAGTTGGGAAGGCCTGGGGCTGGGGCCACACTGTCACCCTGCACTGGGAGGGGGCTCCTGGCATCCCCTTTAAGAAGCAAGAGAAGGCCTGCTGATCTGGCAGTGTGGGTGGTAGCTGGGCATGGGTGCCAATTAAGGGCTAATCCCTCAATACACAGGACTGAAGGCAAGAGAAAGGGGTGACGAGTGAAAAGGCTGAGCCTTCGGAAACTGTGGGGGTCTTTTTACTTGCAGACAATCTCCCCCACGATGGTGGGGCAGAGCCCAGAAGGTCAGAGGAAATCAGCAGGGTGGTCACTCTGAGGCCCCTACCCCAGGCTGCTAACATGGAGGCCTGGGAACACTAGCCCTGGTGTCCACGACGCTGGACCTCTCATGGGTCTGGGTCTGGGCAGCTTTCCCCGATGGGAGGGGACACACATCCTCACTGGGGACAAGACTTTCTCCCCAGTGGAGCGATTGTGGCTTTAAGCTCTGTGTCCATGAAGAGGAGGAGAAACCTTGCGTGGCTTCTCCTGAGAAGGGAAAAGAACTGCATCTGTGAACAAACAGGACAAACTGCTTTATTAGCGTTGCAGAGTTGTTTTAAAGGAAGAAGCAGCTCTGGGACACAGGGTGGTCTGGGGCTTTGGCTTGGAACCCACATCTACCTCTACTGTCCTGTCTCTGGGAAGGGAGCATGGTGTTGTTGAGGCTTGAGCGGGGGTGTCTGAGGATGTCTGTACCGTCCCCCGGGACATCGCTGCATAGCAGTGGAGTCCACAGAACACCCACCACTGCCTGGGGGCAGGGGGTATCTGGGCAGGGGCGTACCCCTGGAAAGGAGATGAGGGCTTTCTGGTGTCACAGCCGTACTCCTCTGGTGCAGGAGCTGGGGCAGACAGTCTGACTGCAGCGAATCAGGCCCCGCATCGCCTGTGCAAAGAGGCACGGCTACCTCCCCAGGTCGGCTCAGCTCGCTGCCTAAGCTTTTGGAACTCTCCGTGGATACAGGTAGGTTTGGGCGCCATCCCATTGCTTTGGTGAGGACTGTCTTGGCTTTGGTGAGGACTGTCTTGCGTCCAGCTGCCCCAGGAACAAGAGCCATGGAGCTGGCTCCCACCGATATGCGCAGCACGTCTGGTACCAAAGTCAGGGGCCAGGGGCCAGGTTGCCGGTGGAGGACACAAAGACGCTGGGCAGGTGGTGCAGGTCCAGACCGGCTTCTTTGGCTGCGGAGGGCAGCGGAGCTGTGCCTGAGGAACGGATGACCCAGACTCGGTGTGGTGTCCCAGCCCCGCCTGGTCTCAGGACAGTCTGCTTCTGGGAAGGGACGCGAGGCGGTTTCATCTTCCCTGAACTCACTCACCTGAGGCAGGGGTCCAGCTGCTGCCCAGCTCCCTGGCGCTGCTAACACTGGCCTGGAAGAAGGTCTGCGTGGTCACCTTTCTCCAAGATAGTGAGGCCAGGACTTTAGGGGAGGTGAGCCAGGGTATCCCATCACTCACCCACAAACCGACCCAGCCCTGGTAGTAAAGAGAACAGGACACAGCCCTGGGGTACATGTTTATGTGAGTAATAAAATATTTACTATAACATAAATATAAAGGGAACTTCCCAGTCTACATTTTTTTTTTGCAATAAAGATACAAAGAGAATGCACCAAAACATTGTTCCAAAAATAATAAAAATAAAATAACAAAATTTAAATCCAAAATGTAACAAACAGAACAAGAAATGGAGAAGGGGGAAGCTCCAAACACATTCAGAAAATAAATAGAGATGGGTCAGAAATCTGGAAATCATATTAAAATATCTTTTTCAGATTAGTTGGTGTACAAAATCCTTGAGGATGGGGAGGGAGGGCGACTCGGAAAACCAAAAATAAAAACCAAGCACAAAATGTTTCTTCTCCCCGCCAGTGTGTACATATCTCACATATTTACATGGTTCCCACCTCACCCCAAACTTGGGGAATTTCTTTCCCAACCTCCCCCAGCATCCGGCATCCCAGGGGCTGGACAGGGAGCAAACGGAGGCTGCAGGGAATCAGGAAGAAGGTTCTCAGGGAACGGCTTATTTCTACAGCTGGTTGAAAAATATCTCCAACTTTTCCAAGTTTCGTTTGCTAGTGGCCAGGAGGGCAGGCCCCACGGGGAGCGGAGGCCCGGCCGTGCAGTGGTCAGCCTGCAGCGGGACAGAGCCCTTTCCCAACCGTGTGTGTGCGGGAGCGCAGACCCCTCCGGCATGGCCCGGCATCGAGCTCGGGCTCGGATAAAACGAAACAAAAAATGAACACTCGAATTTTTTTGTTAGTTTTTGTTTTTTTGTTTTGCTTTTTTGGGGTAGGATAGAGGGAGGTAAGGGGAAAATAAATTAGGCTAGATTAAAGCTTTGGCTATTTCCTGCTTTTATACACAGACGCGGCTCTCGCGGCCTCCCCTCCGGGGCCCCGATAAATACAGTATACAGCGATTTAAATTAAGGGCGCGGGCGAAGTTAGAAGGACCCCAGGAGCCGAAAGGCTCCACGAATAAATAAAAACCGTAAAAAACCAAGCCCGGAGGAAGGGTAAGAGGGATGGGGTGCATCCTTGTGGGAGAGAAGAGGCTGGGAGCGAATAAAGTGACAGTCCCCACTCTCGACCCGCAGGCTCGGAGTCCGCGCCGGGGAGAGGGGTTGGGGAACCCTCCTCTCTTCTTCCTTTCTCCCGGGGAATCCCTAACCCCGTACCGCGTTACCTGTCGCTGTGGGGAGGCCGCTGCCGGGATCCGGCCCCGAACAGCCCGGGGGGGCAAGGGCGGGGGTCGTCGAGGGGGTGGGGGCAGGGAGCAGGCGGCGGGCCGGATGCCCGGGGTGAGTTGGCGCGTTCCGGATCTTCGCTCCTCTCTATCCGGGTTGGCGACGCAGCCTGTCGGCCGTCTTCGCCGCTCGCCAGAGAGGGTCGTCCGGGTGTTTGGTTTTGTTCGAAAGTTTCTGGGCTTTTTGTAAAATCCAAAGCAACCGAACAAAAAGAGTTCAGGCCGCGCAGCGCCTCGCCGCGCGCCCGCGGGGAGCTCGGTCGGCGGGGTCACTGCACCGAGCCGGGCAGTGTGTGGTGGTGATGGTGGTGCAGCGCGGCCGGTGGGGGCGG